CTGTGTAATTCCATTCATACGAAATTCTTGACATGACAAAATTATAGAAATGGAGAACAGTTGAGTAGTTGTCAGGAGTTAAAGACGGGGCAGAGATGGGGAGGGTAAGAGGACGCAGGTGCGGCCACAAAAGGGCAACATGAGGGACCTTGGTGATGACGAACATGTTCTAAATCTGGACTCTATCAATGTCAGTGTCCTGTTTGTGAAATCATACAATAGTTTTGAAGGTATTACCATTGGAGGAAACTGTATAAAACGTACATAGATCTCCACATCATTTCTTACATTTCCATGTGAATCTACAATTCTCTCAAAATGAAAAGTCTAACTAAATAATAATCACCCTTATCTGTTCATGCTGGAGAGATGTGTTACGCTGCCAGAGTTTCAGATCTGCTCTGAGCACCATGATCTGGGTTTACCATCATCCTCATAATATACTCCCTCTTGTATTCCAGATAGAAACAATAAGTACCTAAGAGTCAGCAAGCTGTGCCCAGGAATTGCACCAAAATGATAATGCTCCAGATGTTGAATTTGCCAGCACAGGGACTCTGGGTGGCAAATAGCAGCCATGCAAGTATGGATATAAGGCAAGGAACTCAATATGGAGCCAAGTTTCAGTAGGGAGATCAGAGAACTAGATTAGGGAATAGATCAGGAAGCAAGAAAATAATCAGGAGTCTAAAAGTATTTATTCATCAGGAATAAGGGCTGGGCACCCCACTGGGGACTCAAGGCCAAGACTTGGCCAAGCAACAGACACCTAAGGCCATGCTCGTGGTAGGCAGAAGGCAGAAGAGGCATTTGCTTATTCATCTCCTAGTTCATTCAACAAATGTTTGATGAGAAATTCCCAGAGATCACTCACCAAGGCAGGTGCCCAAGACACAGACCCGGTCACCTGAAGCTCCCTGGCTTCTAGAGGAAGTAGAATAGCAAGAATGCTTGGGAACACTCAGGAGGAACATCAGTTCCAGGGTTGTGCAGTCAGATAACACATTTTATGAGGAAGTGGTGTGGAAGTGTGGGGTGCAGAGGAGGAAAGATTCATGCAGAGAGAAGGTCACATGACCCTGAGCTGAGAGGTTGCAGGACCGTTAGCACAGCTGGGGTTCATCTGTAAAGACAGGAAAGCAGAAGTCAGGAATTGAGGGATAAGGCTGGAGATTGTGGGCTCTGCTGGTTATGAGCAAAGGCTCAAGTCAGGGAAATACCGCACATCAGGCGATTATGGACACTCTCACTCCGTGGATCACAAAGAACCATAGGCCAGCACACTGGATCATGGTTCACTGGAGGAGTCCAAACTCTGTAATCTATGAGGCCCTCGTGGGTTCTTTCACCCGCAGAGCTCCAGGTGTATCTGATGATCCTCCTGCCTCTGCTGGAACCCTCTGACTCTCAAATAGGCTTCACACATGAAGCCGGGAGATTGTTTTAATCCTCTAAATAACTTTCTGTTTCTACAACAGATAGGAAGACTGTATCTTCTAGCCTAATTGGAAGCTCACAATTCCAGGGAGACTTTTGGCTGGGCAGGAGCTCTCTTCCTCTGAGATTTTATTTCCTGGGGACATTCCATACTTGGCCCATGACAGAGGCTGCAGTCGCCCAAGGGAATAATGCGTCAAGGGCCACTCATCCTTTGGAAAGCAGAAGTCCAGATACCAGAGTAAAACCGTAACTCATTAACACTTCAAACAACTATTTATTATGTGTTGAGCAATCTGTGCCAGCCCCAATGACCTAATGGTGAGCAAAACCATGCTCTGTCTTCCTGCAACCTGCAATCTGGTAAGTGGGCCAAAGAGCCTAAAGAAGACATTAGTTAGAATACAGGTGCAGCAATTCTAACAGAACCTCAAAATACTAGGATTCAGATAAGATGGAGCTGCATTTACCTTTCACAAGGGTAAGCAGTGGAGACCCAGGTACCTTCCACCTTGTTGCTCCAGCATCCTGAGTGTGTGGCCATCATCCGTGTGGTCCAAGATGGTTCACCATCACCATGACAACCACACTCCAACAAGGACGAAGGAAGAGAAAGATGGGAGAGTGGAAGGAATAAGCCACTCTCCTTAAAGGCTTAGAAGTCACACCACACTAAAGCTCAAACTCTTCTTGCAGAAATTAGTCGCATGATCACACCAGGCTGCAAGGGATACCAGGGAAAGCAGTTTTTAACTAGACAGCTGTGTGCCAGACAGGCTTTTGATTATTGTGGAAGAAGGTGAGCACAGATACTGCAGGTGAGTAGCAATCTCTAATGAAGCAGGTGGGTGAGTAACGAGAGGACACAGCTCTCCAAAAACAAAAGCAAATAAGTGATCAGAGCTGAGCAGAAAAGGAAAAACCCACAAATGCACAGGATCTAAAGGGCAGGAGGAAAGGAGGGGAAATATCAAAAAACAAAGGGAACACGGATTCTGAGACTGGGCTTTGGAATCTCTAGGCACTGTGTCTATATTTCCTCCCAACACAGGCATCACCCCACATGTACAGGCGGGAAAGGTATGAAGGGAGGAGTGTTTGCCTGCAGCACGTCTGATGAAATGAGCTCTTCCAGGGCTTATGCTTTTAGCTCCAGACTGTCCATTATGAAAAATCACTAAGAAGACTAATGGTGCTGCCTAGCAGTAGTGCCAACCTATTGCCTTGCCAACCATCCTAATGGCCACAATGATGCTAATGGTGATGGCAGCGTTGATGCTGGATATGTTTTTTGTCTCACGGGAGTAGCAGTGGATTCTCTTGGCATCTTTGGCATCCTTGTAGTGAAGTAGAAACCTTATTTGGCGCAATACTGGTAGGCAAGGGAGAAATTCACAGCAAACCTAAGCCCTTCCTCTGTAGAATGGGAGGTAAAACAATAGCAAAGGCACTCTAAGAGTGCATGATCCTAGGACTCTCAGAACGTGCTCATCTCCCCTCACTCAGTCCCCAACATGTTTCAGGTTTATTTAGCTTTTCATATTTTCATGTAAAAGGCACAATAACAGCCAAGTACATTTTCCAACCATTGAGTTCTACCTACTCTGTGCCAGGCACTGAGCTGAGTGTTCAGTAGCATTTCAAAATGCTTTCATGACATCTCCGTTGGGTCTTTACTCTGTGAGGTAAGGGTAGTAGGTATCAGAGACATTTCCATGTAATATGGAAGGAAAGCATGATGGGTGATTTGTCCAAGATTGCACAGCCAATCTACAGCCAAGTCTGGTCCAGTTTCCCTCCTCCCGGTCAGTTGCGTCTTCTGAACCCATCTCTTGTCATACAATCCAATTTATTTCTAGGTTTACTTCTCCAGTGCCACTCGGTACACTGCACAGTGATTTTCCAATATAGGTCAAATCCCAGGACAGGTATATTTCACTCTTCCTCCCCTCTTCCCCCTCTTCCCCCCTCCTCCTCCCTTTCCTACCCTTCCTCCCTCTCTTCCTCCTCTACTCCTCCCCTTCCTCCCCTTCTCTTCCTGCCCCTCCTCCTCTCCTCTTTCCCCCTCCTCCTCCCCCTCCTACCTTCTCCCCCCTCCCCGCCTTTCCCCTTCCCCGCCTTTCCCCTTCCCCCATTTCTCTTCCCCCTCTCCTCACTTGGCTGCAGCCCACCTGCCCGGCTCTCCACCTGCCTCCCTGCTTGCTCCCTGTCTCCTTTGCAGGTTCCTCCTCTTCTCCTTAAACACCTCAGACCTCAGTCTTCAGACCTCCTGCTTCTCTGTTCACACTTGTTGCCCCCATCAATGAGCTAATCCAGAGTCATGATTGTAGATGCCAAAGTCCAGTCTCCAGCCCACATTGCCCCCTCAACTCCAGGCTTAGAGAGCCAGTCAGCCACTTGTCTTCTCCACTGGAATGGCTACGTGCAACTCCAATGGATTGTGTCCAAAACAGAGCCCCTAATTTTCCCTCCCAAATATGGTTCACCCCCCACCCCCAGCCATCCTATCTCAGGGAACATGATATGGTTCATATCTGTGTCCCCACTCAAATCTCATGTTCACTGTAATCCCCAATGTTGGAGTTGAGGCATGGTGGGAGGCGATTAGATCATGGGGGCAGATTTCTCATGAATGGTTTAGCACCATCCCTCTTGGTGCTGTCCTACAGATAGTGAGAGAGTTCTCATGAGATCTGGTTGTTTAAAGGTATGTGGCACCTCCCCTCTTGCTCCTGTTCTGGCCATGTGACATGCTCACTCCCCCTTTGCCTTCCACCATGATTGGAAGCTTCCTGAGGCCTCCCCAGAAGCAAAGCAGATGCCAGCACTATGCTTCCTGTACAGCCTGCAGAATCGTGAGCCAATTAAACCTCTGTTCCTTATAGATTTCCCAGTCTCTGGTACATCTTTATGGCAATGCTGGGACAGCCTAATGCAGAAGGTTAACTCTTTTTTTCCAGTTGCTGAGGACGACACTTGGTCTGGCACCTCGCTCCAATCTGTTGGCAAATCCTACTAGCTCTATTTTCAAAACATTTCCAAAACCTGACCCTGCTGCTGCCCTGATTTAGGCTGCCATCTCCCTTGCCTGGACTAGCCATAGTCTCCTAATCCATGCCCCTTCCTCCACCCTCATCCCTCAGTCCACTCTCAACCTAGAGCCCAGAAGGATCCTGCAGAAATTGAAAATGGATTATGTCACTTCTCTGCTCAAAGAATGGCTCCTGTATCCACAGGACGGCCTCTGGGGCCCTCCATGATCTGTCACCCCTCAACATACCCTTACTCTGTCTCATCTCATCTCCCCCAGATACCCTCCCACCCGCAGCAGTGCTGGTCTTCGTGTTCCCAGAACACCCTGGCCACCCTCATGCTTGGATCTGGGCCTAGGCCCCTGTTCCCTGAGGTCTCTGCTTGGCCAGTCTTCCACCTCCTTCAGGTTTGTAGGCAAATGTCACCTTCATGGTGGGAGTTTCCTCAGCTTCCCTCTGCCCAACAACCCTTCCCCTCTGCCCACCAGCCCTTCCCCTCCACCTTCTCCAATTTTTCTCCTTGGCACTTACCAACCTCTGGCATGCTGTGTGTTTTATCTTGCATGTTGCTCTGTTTCCTCCATTAGAACTGAAGCTCCTGGAGAGCAGGAATTCTTGTCTATTTTTCTCACTGCTAGTCTCCTGGAACTTGGAATGGTGCCAGGGGCTTGGCCTATAGCAGGCTGGCAATGAATATTTGTTGAATAAATAAATTGAATGACTGGCTTTACCCCATTCTAACCTTGAGCAAGATGCCTAATCTTTCTGAGTGTTAATTTTCACCTCTGGGAAATGAACATGACAATGGCCATCCCACATCGTCCTTATAGGGTAAGAGATAGTGTGTGCAAAAAGCCAGGGCAGTGCCTGGTGGGCCGTCATTCATTGCAATTGTTATGATTTCAGAGGAAGGTTGAGCAACTTAAACATCTAACCCAAACCCAGTAGATGGAGATGGTGTCATAGATCTCAAAGCCCTCTTGGCCTGGTTGACCTCCAGGTTGGTAATCACTTTCCCTGCCAGAGGAGGGGGTTCCAAGATAGTAAGGAACCTCCTTGCCACTGTGTTCAACAACTCACTTGCAATTCACCCGTTCATGCAGTCAACAGTATTTACAGTATCTCAGAAGCTGGGCATTCACAGACTTCGGCTCTCCCCTCACGGAGCCCATTGCCCTTCAGAGGAGATGAACAGAGAGACAGCTGACGTCAGAGAATGTGGTCAGCTCCGGAATATCAGGGCCAGTCTGTTGCCTGCTCCCACCCACATCTCCACCTTACAGCCTGGCACACTCAGTGTCATCTCAAGGTACCAGATGATCATAAGCAAAGCAAAACAAAAAGTGAACAACATTGGCATGTCCTGACAGCAAAAATGTCAGCTGAGGAATTTGGCCTCCTGTCTTTGAGACCATAAACAAGAGCACAAACTTTCAAGGGTCCCTCATGGTACCAGGGCTGAGTGCCTGTACCTCAGGACCTCTCCTGCAGGCCACAGGCTTGCACTGAGGTGAGTTGGATCCAAAGGCAATGAAGAGTCACAAGGAAAGAGGTCCCATGGGCCTCTCTCAGCCTCTCTAGGCCAACCAAGAACCCACGGGAGCTTAAACAAAGGCCGAGGATGCTCTTGGCCTGGACCAGCCTCCCTGATTGAATGGGAAGGGCACGGTGCATTCTGGAGTATCCGGACCACAACTTCCTTCCCCCGCCGTCTCCTGAGGGGCAACTTCCGGCCCAGTTCCAGAAGAGGCGTGTTCAGGATCGTGGAGAAGGACAGGCTTGAGGAGGCTGGAGCCCACCCCCATGTGCCTTGGCCCTGCTCCAAAGTGTACCTCCACCCCTTCACTTCTCTGTGGCCATTTCTCCTGGGGACCAAGTTTTCCCTCAGATGGGTGCTCCTGAAACTGATTCACCCAAAAGACGTGGGAAGGCCTTGGAAGGGCCTTGGGTGAGAGGGCATTTGGCTCCCCTGTAAATGCTTCAGCAAGGAGTGAATCCGGAGACCATAGCAGGCAGGGGCAGGGGCGGGGTTGGCTCTTCTCTCTATGCCAAGACACAGGAAAGCCTGTGTTTGACTGGGGTGTTTTCCCCCATGGTGGCCGAGCTGCTGGCAGTTCCTGCAAGACCCCACTTGATGAGGCAGGGCTGAGAGGGGGTGATTAGGAGGTGCAGGTTTCTCGTTGGCAAGTGGCAAGTGGCAGAACTTTCTGTCCCCCAAGTCCTCTTGTTGGCATGCTCGAGTGGCTTTTCTCCCAAAGAGCTCTTCCATGAGCATGTCCGGAGAGTGTCTGCCTGGCCCCACGACCAACTCTCTTTTGCAGCAATGGAGAGGGGACAACTTCCTCCGGCGAGCTTAGAGGCTTTCCTGAGCCACCCCTAAAATGGCAGGCGCTCCTGGGACGCAGTCTGTATCCTGTGACCTCAGGTCACCAAATCACACACAGGGCCTGTTCTGAACTCACCAACTAGGCTTCCTTCTGAGCCACACACGCAAGCAAGCTCCTCGTCAGGAAATGCACCCCCAGAGAAGGCCAGGTATGCACATGACAGGTGGGGGCTCGGGAGGAACCCGAGCTTACACCTTCACTGTCGAGCCAGGGCCCTGGATGCAGGGAGACTGTGCTGGGATCTTCACAGCCATCTGACACTGGACAAGTGATGGCACCTCTTTGAGTCTCATCTGAAAAATGAGGGTGATGATGGGACAGTGTTGTTGTGAGGCTAGAGGAGGTATCACGTGTCCAGCATCTACCAGTGTCAGAGACATAGGAATTGCTTGAGAAATAATAGACTTCGCCCTTGCTCATGTGGGGAGGAACAGGAGAAGGCGGCAAGTCGTACCCCAAGCCACGTGTAACCCTGATGTGTGGGGAGGCGTCTCTCTCGTTGTCCACTGCAGAGTGCACGACCCCGCCTTCATTTACCAAACCCCGAAGTATCCCTCCAGGCCCAGCTCCTTCTGTGCACTTGAATTCCTGGGGCAGAGTGCACGACCCTCGCGCTGCTTCTGCTTTGGACACTGTGTGTTTGCATTCTGAGTATTTGCGTTTGTCTCTCCACCTGTCAGCAGCTGCTTGGGGATAGGAATTCTGCCTTGCTCAGTGCCCCCTCCTCAGCTCCTGTCCCCTTCCCTGGTGCAGAGGTGCCCGGTGAATGACAATCTAGCCCTCAGCCCCAGTTCTGCTTCGGAAGGTGCCAGTAGCCTCAGGGGTGACCCAAGGCACAGAGGCACATCCGGGGAAGGCTGTGGCAATAAGGCTACTGCTCCTTTCCGCCCTCCCCGTCCTGGTCACTCTCTTCATTCCTATAGAGTGCTGACGGCTGGTGAGATCATTGCTTGTCAGCTAGAGCACAAACAGCATGCAGGAAGGGCAGGTGATGTTTCAAAGGTCACTTTACTAAACCCACGGCAGAACCGAGATGAAAATGCATCACCGCCTCAAGTTCAGAGCGGGGATTGGCCTGCACCGCATGAGTTCCAGGAACAAAAGACAACCTCACACCATTCAGAAAAGAGGATGGACACTCCGAGTGCTCAACTCAGGTCACCTCCTTGGGCAAAGTATCTTGTCTTTAAAACTGGAACCAAGCGAGGGTGTGTCCAGTTCTGGTTTCAGCTGGGAGTGCCCTGGAAGGCTCTGCCTGACCCCGCGTTGCAGTTAGGTCTCCCCGACTCTACTGTGTCACCTCTCCTTGTGGTTTTCTTGACAGCACTTGTCACATAAATCAATGTGTGTTTTGTTTGTAAAATTATTTGTTCAATGTCCAATTCTCCTTCACACTGCTAGATAGGAGAACAGGGATGTATCCAAAGGGTTCAGCATACTACTGAGTGTATAGTAAGCTCTCAGAGTATTCATCCAACAACTCATTGTTAAGGTCTTCCACATGTAACGTACTATTCGTACTAGTCTCTATTCTTGGTGTTAGTGGACTAAAATGATACACAGGTGGATTGATGGATAGTTTGTTAAAATAATACAAGACGCCAAGCTGGGCTGTGTGACTACAATGCTTCCTATTGCTGCTGTGATCAGTTATCAAATTTAGGGGCTTAAAACACATCAACTGACTTGCCATAAGGGGAAAAATCAGTCTCACCGGGCTAGGACTGAAGCGTCCAGCAGGGTCAGCTCCTTCCGGAGGCTCTGAAGGGAGAATCTATTTCCTTGCCTGTTCCAGTTTCTAAAAGCTGCCTGCATTCCTCTTCTAGATCCTCCCTCCATCCCCAATCCCTCGCGCTCTGGTCTGTGTTTCAGCCATCACGTCTCCTTCTCTAACTCTGACCCTCCTGCCTCCCTCCTGTAAGGACCCTTGTAATTCTCAGAAGACCCGTTCAGAGAATCCAGGATCATCTCATCTCAAGATCCTGAATTTAAACACATCCGTAAAGTCCCATTTGTCATGCAAGGTAACATAGTCACAGGCTCCCGGGATTACAGCGTGGATGTCTTGAGAGCTCATTATTCAGTCTGCCCCCGTGACCCATGGAATATGTATTTGGGAATCTTTGAATGAGGAAGTCTTCCTAAATTGCAGCAGTCTCTTACTCTAAGTCTCAAAACGTTTTAGTAAATTATGCACTCTATATTTTGGAATCACATCTTATCCAAATCGGAGATTTTGGGTTCTCATCTGCTCAGCATGTTTACAAAATACGTGTGTGATACGACTACCCGCCTAGTAGCAAGGGGACCTCTCCTGTGGTGGGCTGAATAGAGTCTCCAGCCCCAAAAGATATGTTGATGTCCTAACTCCGGTGCCTATGAATATGACCCTATTTGAAAATAGGATGTAATTGCAGATGTAATCAAGTTAAGATGAGATCCTACTGGATTAGGGCTTAATTTAGATCTCTAAATCCAATGACTGATGTCCTCACAAAGAGGAAAAGATTTAGAGACAGAGACAGAGGGAAGATGGCCATGCGACAGCGAAGGCAAAGACTGGAGAGATGCAACCGCCAGCTGAGAACTGCCAAGGACTGCCGGCAAGCACCAAGAGCCAGAAAGCGGCAAGGAAGAAGTGTGGTCCTGCAACACATTGATTTCAGACTTCCAGCCTCCAGAAATGTGAGGCAATACATTTCTGTTGTTTTAAGGCCCCCCCCCACAAATTAACAAATTTGTGGTAATTTGTTACGGCAGCCCTAGGAAACGAACACACCCTGTCCCCCTCCCCCGCCCCTACACCGTGGGTTCCCATAAGCTCTCCCTGAAGACCCTCTGCTAGGGCAACTACAGAGCACCCCTGTTTCCCAAGCTATGGCCCGTTTTTCCACTGTCCCCGACACTGGGTGACAGGGAAAGGCTTTGCCACGGGAATGAACCATCCACTTACACTGCTTTCTGCAGACAAGTCACCACTGTGCAGTCAGTTTTTTCCTCATTTCTTGGAAAGCACCTCTCAGGACCATTTCAAGAAAAACAAATTGTGAGGTTAAGGATCTGTTTAAAGTGAATCATCAGCTCTAGTTCCAATAACAAACCAGGCCAGTCGGGTCGCTAGGACAAGACTGGAGCCACTGTGAGCGTGCACTAACTGTGGGTCAGGCATGAGCGGGTCTCTGCACACACGTCACCTGGCGTGCCCCCTCCCCCTGTTCACTCAGCAGGCGGCCTTGGTGGCTGCCTTCCCAATCCTCTGCCCAAAAGGGACGCAGAACTGCATGCTCACCAAGTAAGAATTTTTAAGCAGTTTTGAAATACGGTTTACCATTTGGGTGAGCTTAACAGGAACACTTTGAACCCATATAACCCCTTGTACCCAGAAATCCCCAATTGCTTGGTGATAACTGGTTGTATGTGTGCAAAGCTCCCTGCTAGCCCTCCAGGAGCGTTGAGTCCTCAGAGTCCAAGAGCAACCTGAACCTGGATGCAGCACAGATGCCTGTGCCCAGCTGGGGCTCAGAGTAAGCCAAGCACTTCTTTCATTTCAACATTCCTGAGTTGTCTTTCCATAGGTGGTGGCAGTAGAATGAACCACTCATCAACTTTTTCTTTTTTTCTTTCTGAGACAGAGTCTCACTCTGTCTCCCAGGCTGGAATGCAGTGGTGCGATCTCAGCTCACTGCAATCCCTGTCTCCCAGGTTCAAGTGATTCTCCTGCCTCAGCCTCCCAGAGTAGCTGGGATTACAGGCAAGCAACCACCACACCCAGCTAACTTTTGTATTTTTAGTAGAGATGGGGTTTCGCCATGTTGCCCAGGCGAGTCTTGAACTCTTGACCTCAGGTGATGCACCCACCTTCGCCTCCCAAAGTGCTGAGATTACAGGCTTGAGCCACTGCGCCCAGCCCACCCATCAAGTCTTTATTTGAGCACCACTATATACCAGGCACTGGCAAGGCACTGGTTAACCCATTTCTCCATGGAGCATCTGTTGAAGTTGGGGGAAGTATAAAAAAAGATTATAACAAAAGGTAAACAGACAAGTAAATAAAAGAACTGTGGACTGAAATAAATGTCATAAGGAAATTTAGGAGCTGAAATAGAGAACAGACGAGGCCTGAGTTTTCACCAGGTGAGCAGGAAATGGCCCTGTGAGGTTACACTCAAGCTGAGCCAGAAGACCAGGTGCAAAGGTCCTGCGGCAACGAAGAGCTTAGCCAGCATCCAAGGACCTGAAAGAAGACCAGGGTGGCAGGAGTGTTGTGAGCACAGAGGCTCCTGCAAGAGGAGGCTGGAGAGGTTTGCCGGGGCCAGATCATGCAGAGTTTACTCAAGCATGGATTTTATTCTAAGTACAATGGGAAGCTCTTGAAGGGTTTTTGTGGTGTGTGTGTGTGTGTGTGTGTGTCTGTGTGTGTGTGCAGGGGAAGGGTGAAGGGGTGACATAACATAATCTCCTCCTCCTTTCCCCCCTTCCTCCTTCTTCTTCCTCCTCTTCTTTTTCTTCATTTTCTCCTTCTTCATCTCTTCCTTCTTCTCCCCCTCTTCCTCCTCCTTCTCAGATGACCACTTTTGCAGCTATGTGGGGACAGTTGATTTGAGGTAGGCAAGTGTGCAGGGGAAGGCCTTTTAGGAAGGATGTAGCAGAAACCTGGACTTGGGTCGCAGCAGTTGCAGGGGAGAGAAGGCGCGATCAGATGTCTACTGGGGACAGGATTGATAGGATGTGCTGACAGATTGCAGGGACTGGGAGTGTTGGGGAGGGTCCTGGGTGACTGAGTGTCTGCTTGCTCTTTACAGGGGTTTCTGTCCCACCAGAGAGTGGCATACCTGGCTCATGGGCTCCTGGGTGACCCTAAGAAGCTGTCCCAAGATGACCATCAGGGTCCCTTCCATCCCTCACTGCCACTGATAAAGCTGGACAGCTCTGCTCTTCTCTGGAACTCACCTGGGTCTGGGGCAAGATGTCTCAGTGACTCTTACCTCTTGCACAATAGGCAGTATTTTTTTCCAAATTTGATATTCTCCTTTGCATCTGATGGGGCCATTCTCCATTTTCTAATTACCACACAACAGTCTTGCCTGCAGGTGCCTTCCTAAGTTGGGGTCCTACCTCAGAATCAGTAGTCAGTTAGGAAATCACGTCTCTGGAGGGTGAGAAATTAAACCGCAATTTGCAACATGTACCAGTTTCTATGATATAAACACCCCATGCCATGGCCACTTTCAAGCTACCAATAGTTAACCAACTCAAAACATTCCTGAACAGTGAACACTTGGCTCTCACCAGCCCATAGGAGCCAGGCCTAGCTCAGGAGCGCATGACTGCTGGCCTAGAACACTATGCCAAACAATTTCCTCCAGCTTCTCAAAATGCGCAGTTGTCCAGGGCAGAAGCTGAGTGTGCAGGAGGCTTGGTGAGGTGATGCACTGAATCCACAGGTCTGGGAACGAATCCAGTCAGCGACTCACTGCATGTTCAAGTGTGTCTGAATAAGTTAACTTCAAAACCAAACCGAGTGCTCAAGGCAACGTCTCTCCACTGGTGGTGGAGAACAGCCTGGCAGAACTTTCCCCATGGGTAGGTTTTGGGGAATGAATGGGGAGTCGGGAAATCTGGGTGACAACTCTGGGTCTGCCACTAATTGGCTCAATGACCTCAGACATGTCGCCTGACCACTCTGAGTCTCAGCCTTCACATCCCCAAAATGACAGGCAGATGATCTAATAGTCAGCCACTGAGTGTCTTCCGAGGCCTATGGACTTAATGCAACACCAAGGTTCCTGGAGAACCCGTTTCTGACCCAGGCGACCATGCAGGTTGTGAAGCCAGAGGGGAGCTTGAGCACCAAGTTCAAGACGGCAGTCTTGCAAGGCTTTCCTCGAAGCAGCTCCTGCAGACTGGCTCTTTCACCTTAAACTCCATAGTTTTGGACACAGGTAAGAGTCATGGGGACAGAAAAGGAAGGGAGACAGAGACAACCCAGGGAAGAACGATGACACTTGGTGACTGGAAGGGTATGGGAAATGCAGACAAACGAGATCAAAGAGAGCTCCCCAAGTTGTGCCCATGCCATAGTTTCCCACACCACACGGAACAGCGGGAGCAGCAGCTTTTGGGCTTCTCTGGCTGGTAGACTGTGTTTAATGGCTGCAGAGCCTGCACCTTCCTAAGCGGATGAAGAACTTCCTAGAATGTCCCTTAGGACCCCGCCTATGAAATGGTACCAACACCACTCTGTGACTTTGTCCAGGGGCTGTGTGTGGAAAACACTGCCTACTGTGTGGGCCAGGAGAGGCTGTGAAAGGAGCTGCATAGACGTCCCTCACCCAGAGATCGGGGACCACCCTCATGGACAAACATCCCCTTTGCCATTCATTCCATGTCCTCCCCAAGCGCATCCTGAAATGCCTTCCTCATTCTATAGCCGCATACCTAATATCCTCTTCTATAACCCCAGTTCTCTCCATTCGAGGCCACAGAGGTGAACGTAGTTAAGAAGTCAGAGGACGGGGCTGAGAGATGCTTAAACACCCACAGAGTAAGGACCAGACCTTTTTCTTCCTTCCTTGTTCTCAGGCTTTTCTGCACGTACCGGGGGCATTGGCTGTTGACACATGAAATATTGAGGCAGCCTTGTCTATGCTCTGGGCACCTTATTTGGGTGAATGTACCTTTTCAAAATCAAGATGTTCTGGGGTTTTATAAAAATAAGAAGTATGAAAATATCCCAAAACAGAAAAGAGGACTGAGGATAACCATATAAAAACAATTTAAGCTGAGAAAAATAAGCCAGTCCTGTCGAGTCCCAAAGAGAACCTTGGTTTCCATGGGACGTTAGCAAAGTGCAGAGCTCCTAGCAGTGGGTAGGATGGAATGTTTGCAGCCTTTCCAAATAAGCAAACATCCCCCAGAATCCAGCATCCGTGCCCCACATGCTGTGGTTCCAATTTGCTTCCTGTTTTCAGGCCTCCCAGAAATACATCTCACAGACTTTTTATTTTCATCTCCCCACCTTGAAAAGCACAGATTTGCAAGTGTGAGTGTCTTAGCGGGGAGACGAATCCAGCAGGCATTCGAGACATTCAGGCAGGAAGAAATGCATCTCGTCGGAAATTTTCCATCGCCAGCACTTTTTAAAAAATTCCCAAGATAAATGGGTTTTTACTGGTAGGACTAAGGGCTCCATTATTTTTCAAATACTTTGCTGCTTCTAAGGAGCCAAGAAAATTGGCCATGCACCTGGCCAGCCGATCCAACCTCAAAAATCTTCTGACCTCAATGAAAAGGCCCTAATTTTTCCTTGCCTTTAATAAATGTTTCTTCTCTTCTCCCCAGCAGTATTCAGCATGTGGGGTGGGGAGCGGGGGGCCCAGTTCATGTAAACAGGCAGGAACACTTGATTCATCAGGATTCTTCCCACGGCTCCACTCCAGGGGTCTCTGCTTCAGACAGAACCCCTGTGCAGAGAAGCTTGTGACTTAGGACTTCCAGGGGATTCGAAGTGCGAGTACATTATGGCACAGATTTCAATGTTTACCTGTCTATGTGTATGTTAAAAAATCAATTTCTTAGAGATGGTTTGAAGGTGTCAAAAAAGCCAATTCAGGTAGAAAACATGTCCCTTGCTCTGTAGATGCCTCCATTCTGTCTTCCAGAACCTGCGAGAGAAGAGCAAGGATTTGGACTGTGGCCTGGAGATGGAACCTGCAGCGCTCTTTCCCAAGGAATGCATCGCAGCCCCTCAGGCTGGAACAGGCAGGTGCTGTGAAATCTGGCTGACAAGTCAGCTTCAAGGTGATGTGCTTGCTGAGTCTTCTCTTCTTTCAGCGAAGCTCACATCACGCCCCTGGTGCCTGGCAAAAGTAAATAATGATGAGTGAGTGTATGAAGCAGGAGGGTCTCTACACACCTGTAATTACTACCTGGCAAGTCCCTGCAGAATGCAGGAGTTCCCCCAGAAAGCCAGTGGGGCCATTTCTGGAGAGAGGAAGTCAACGTAGGTCCTCCAGGCAAGATCTAGCTGGAGGAACTAGAATTAAAACTTCTATCACTGGACGGATGTTTTGTCGCTTGGCGGGAAAGTTCTGAGTCAAAGCTCCCAGTTTCCTAAGCTGTTATAAACCCGGTTGAAATGCTCACATACACCTGTGAGTGTCTCAAAACAAACAAAGCATAATCGCCTTAGAACAGCACTGTCTTATAGAAATATAGTGTGAGCTACATGTCATTTAAAATTCTCTAGAAGCAACTTTTAAAAAGAAACAGGTGAGATGAATTTTAATAATATATTTAACTTAACCAACCCGAAATAGTATCACTTCCTCATGCAATCAATATAAAAAATTGCTCGTGAGATATTTTACGAAGTCTTCCAAATCTGGGTATATATTACATTTTCAGCACATCTCACTGTGGACGTGCTTCAGGTGCTAAGAGCCACACAAGCTGTGTGCCATGTTGGACACTGCAGCCTTTGAGGTTGACATGTACACCTTTCCACCTTTTGAGATCACCTGATGCATGATAGATTTCCCACAAACATTTCATATAGAAGAATGAACCTGTTATATGTGAAATTTTACTTGATCTGAATATACTAGTGCTCTTAATAAAATAAGAATTACTAAACAATTTCCTTTGAATAGTACCAGGCAGGTCTGAAACCCAGCCTTGGTTGATATTTTCATGTGCTGATAACAGCAACCAAAGTATCATGACTTCTGTTAATAATTGATTGCTCCTTGCAGGGGAAAAATAAATAAAACCGGAGTCTGACTGCTCCACCCCTTAGGGTCGCTTACTAACGTCTGGATAAGCATGGGTTCTCTGGGGATTAGACGCAAAAACTGCCCTCAAGGACAGCATAGCCCAGGGACAGCCAGGCAGACCAACAATGCCTAATGCTGCATTTGTGCAGGGGCTCGTGTTGGCAACAACGTGAACGCTTCCTGGAGAGGAGACTCCAGCTCTGCATCCTGAACAGGGACTAGGAGTTCCTCAGGGAGGAGGGCAGGAAGGAAACATCCAGGGAGAGGAAGCAGTAGGCACAGAAGTTTGCAACCACCTGCAAAGCAGGGAGGCACGGGACCTCAGGACCCTTCTACAGGAGTCCTGTAGGCCCAGAGGGAACTGTTTCACCATGGGACAATCTACAACAGTTGTCCGACCAAAATACTTGCAAGCCACATGTGTGACGGATTTCAGGAGCCACTGAAGGGTCAAAAGACGGAGATACGATTAATTGTAATGACCTATTTTTATCTTAACCCACGTTGTCCAAAGCTTTATCGTGTCACTGTGTGAGATACCTCACGTTCTTTTTCATGAAGTCTTTGAAATGTGGTGTGTCATTGACACCAAGAAGACATGCACAGGTCTGGATGCAGTGTGTGTATATAATGAGTAATAACCTCTGCTCACGTTCTGGGGTCCAAAAGAGAGGTCAGGACAGCTTCAAGGAAGAGGGCTAGGGATGAAAGAGGAGATAAAGTCGCCCACCACTTCTGAGGGGGCAACAGACTGTGCCAGGCGCTGTAACGCAGGGGGAAACGGAGGCAGCAACTTCTCCCACGTGCTCTCAAAGGCGTCTGTGTCAATAGCATTAACTACCAAACAGAGCACTGAGGAATGCTTGCTAAATGTTGCCCAGTGCCTGGACACCAGACCATAAGGCTAGCCCAGAAAAGAGCAAGTGCACCTGTGTGGGAGGAGGGCAAGTCTCCTTCATCAGTCATCCCGAGTCACAGGGGCGCCTCTCCCTCCACTGCCGGGGAAATGCAGATGCAGGCTGCCTAATGTGGAAATGTTTGGATCTGGAACAGAGAGGCTCGCAGGCCGGCGGGGAGGAGGCAGGGTGACAGTAACCAGCCGCACCGGAATGCTGATGGGGAGCGCTGCACCTACGACTTGCCAAGACCCCAGCAATATCTTTCCTAATAAGTCTAGCAGTGCCTGAGGCTCCCCTCTGAAGAACAGCCTCTCCCTTCCATCTTGGTCTTCTTTAAGGGAGAGCGCGTGCAAGCCAAACCCTGCAAGCACTTGGGCGCAGCCCTGCTCTCCCCGGGGCTCTGGGCTCTGCAGTAGATCCGCTTTGTGAATGAAAGGGGCGTCTCTCCAAGATGGCGCGCTCTACCCTGCGGGCACACCGTGCACACGCCACTCCTCCAGCTGGTCTTGGGGACTGCAGTCCTTCTTTCCTGGATGGGTTGGGGGTGGGGGCTGTTGAGAACTTTCCTCCTCCTTTTCTTCTTCCTCCTCCTCCTGTCTCCCTATCCCTGGAAGAGGGCCATCCACTGAACTTCAGAAAGAGGTCACCCTCCCTGAAAAGGAGACTTGGATTGCTGCATTCAGAGCCACCCCCGTGGTCCCTCAATCCTGGCCACACTCAGTTGCTACAGCAGGGAGAGGTTTCCTAGGCGGGTGTCCCGGCCCCACACAAACAGAGCTCAGGATGACGCCACATGTGTGTTTGGGTCAAAGCACTTTTAACTGTGGCTCCAAGAACAGCCTGTACAGCCACTTGAGTTTCCCAGTAACAAGGAATGTACAATAGATGAGACTTTACTGGCAAAACAATTTAAAAAAAAAAAAGAAGAAGAAGAAGGGAGAAGCAGCCCAGCCTGGTCTCTTTATAGGGTCCTAGAGCAACCAGTCGTGGCTGGGTTGAAAAGCACAGCACTCAGCCATTCAGCAGTTTATGACCTCAGTTTACTAATAAGTCCTTGTAACAAGATTACCAGAGGGATTTTTCAAGCTTCTAGACCCAGGTGTGGCTGAAGGTGAGCTGCTCAGGGACAGGGGTTCTCTTGCCATTGGGAGAAGGTTAGGAAGAATAATTTTCCGGCCCCAGGACTTGTAGATGATTAACGTGTTTCTTTCGGTTAACCAGAGAGTTAATGGTTATTCAAAGCACTCATCGATAATGGAGGGTGGAGGGGAGAAAATGAATGTGTTAACCATTAATCCAGGGAAATGCCATAAAAATTAAAATGAAAAACACTCAATCTGGGAAAGGAATTCACTGGCTGGAAGGGTCAGCCAGGCAAACCTGGTGAGGAAGGAGGAAGAGAGGGAGCCGGAGGGAGGCCTTAAAGTTCATGCATACTCAGAGCTGGCGTTTGTTATTTTTTGTTCCTTTTCCTTGTTTCATTGCTCCGAGGAAACAGAGTAGAAATAACAAAATCACAAACATGAGAACATTACAAATAAAGTCAGTTTTATTGGTCTTTTTGCTCCAGCCTCCCACAGCTGAGCCTGTCTGACTTGTCCCCTGTCTGACTTGTTCCCTGGCCTCTTTGGGGAGCAGGAGTGGAGCTCAGACAATCCATGCTTGGAGAAAGTCGAGAGTGTTTTTAGGAGGCTGGTGCTGACAGAGGCATGCAGCTCTGGCTCCCGGCCTCTTCTTGGAGTCACACTGGCGAGCACCCAGACACAGCCATCATGGTGCCTGCCCCATTCACCCTGTTGGCCCCTGGGACAGCATCCTCAATGTCTTCCAGTCCGCCCAGGGCAATAAACAGGAAGACTTTGGGGCAAAACTCCTGCTTTGCATAGGCTACTCCCAGACACCATCTGGGACACGTCCTGACGAGCTACAAGCTGGCATCGGTGGGAATCTCTGATGAAGGATGGGACTCCCTGAAGCATCACACATGTGTGGAGCATTCTCTAGTGTGAAGACCTTTTTAGAGTACAAAGGCCAGATTCTGCCCTCAAGGGGTTTACAGGCCATTAGGGAGATAAAACAACCTAGGGCAAGTGCTGGAGATGCAGCATCAACCAACTGCTGAATACACTCAAAGAAATGAGAGCCCACCGGACTGTCTGGTAGCCTCCTAGGAAAGCTGAGTCCGAGCTGGGCATGGAGATTGGGTAAGGCTGTGGCCGGGAGAAAAGGAAGAGGCAAGGCAGAGAGAGAAAGGAATGGCAGAAATTTGTAAGGAAGAGACCTATTTGAAGAGGAGGAGAGAAAAGAAGTTAACATTGGAAGACAGGTTTGGGTCTGTCTGTGGGAGCCTCGATGCCCAACTGCATTTATACCCCATCAATGGCACTGTGAAAAGTTTTGAGAGGAGAGTGAAATTAACAAAGTGGGGCATGGGAGGAGGGTGGGTCATGAAGGATGAGAACAAGCAAGTCACCATGTGGTTACAACAGTGGCCCAAGGGCGCCCTCCAGGAACGTGGGGCAGGGGAGCCCAGGACACGGGGAGGCCTCCACCTCCTCTGTGCTCTACAAAGGGAAGGGATCAAGGGGTGAAGATTCCAGCCCCTTTGGAAGTGGAGGAGGCTAGGGAAGAGCTCTTGCTACAGGGAATCCTGTTCTCACGGACCTGGAGGCCAGGGCCTTTGCTAAGAACATGGCAGGAGAGGGCAAGGGCTCACAGAGGGAAAAATCAAAAACTCCAACAACTACTGGGAAGGAAGTGCAGTGAGGGAGGGATGAAGAGCGTGAATTTGTGGGTTCAGTGGACAAGGTTATCTGGCTCTTTCTTTTTTTTTTTTTTTTTTTTTTTTTTGAGACGGAGTCTCGCTCTGTCGCCCAGGCTGGAGTGCAGTGGCACAAACTCGGCTCACTACAAGCTCCGCCTCCCGGGTTCCCGCCATTCTCCTGCCTCAGCCTCCCGAGTGGCTGGGACTACAGGCGCCGCTACCTCGCCCGGCTAGTTTTTTGTATTTTTTTGGTAGAGACGGGGTTTCACCGTGTTAGCCAGGATGGTCTCGATCTCCTGACCTCGTGATCCGCCCGTCTCGGCCTCCCAAAGTGCTGGGATTACAGGCTTGAGCCACCGCGCCCGGCCTATCTGGCTCTTTCTAGCATCCCAGGAGTTCAGAAAGCACAAGATAAAAGCCACTTACTTTCTCCCTCTACCCTTATGGAGGGTTGACTATGGGCCAGTGCTAGTCTAGGAACTGAGGGGAGATGAAGGACCTCAGATACATGTTCTCTGTCTTCACCAAGCTTGTTGCAGAGTGAAGGTAAGAAACATAATACAATTGCAATAAAGAGAAATGGACATGGGTCCTGCCCATTAGAATCAGAGATTGTTAGAAGTACAGACTTCTGCCAACTGATTAAATCCTACCACCACCACCACCGTCATCAGAAACTTTCTTGGCACAGGGCACAAGCTTGTGTCTTTTTTTCAAGGCTAATTCTAACACACGGTATAACATCATGAGTCAGATTGTCTTGGTTTCTATCCCAACTTTACCACTTACTGACTCTATGTGTGTGCGACTGCTCTTGCCCCAGCTTGTCCATCTGAAAAATAAGATAATAGCAATACCTACTTCATAGGATTAAATGTGATCATTCTTATAAAGTCCCAAGAAACAGCCTAACAGAGCAGGCGCTTAATAACTGTTGGCTGTTCGCTAAAGGGCATGACTAGGGTTGTGGTAGGGGAATCACACGGTGCTGTGGGAATCCAGGTGGGGGATCTAACCTGGACCAGAGGGTCGGGGAAGGCTTTCTGGAAGAGGTGACTTCCAAGCTGAGACATGCAGGAGAGTGAGGAGTGAGTCAGGTTGTGTGGGTGAAAGTGAGAGTTCAAGCAGAGAGAACAGCAGGTGCGAAGTTCCCAGACAGGAGACCCAAAACCATGGAAGGGACTGACCGTGGTTTGTTGGGGCTGGAATGCAGGGCGAGGCAGGGCTGCAGAGGGGCAGGAGATGTCCAGATCCTGGAAGTGTTTGAATTCTGTCCTGAGGGCCACAGGAAGCTGCTGCAGGGCTTTAAGAAGAGATGGATCCGATCTGTGATTTGAGGCATCCCTCTTGCT